TGGCTTTCCTAAACTTTATTGAAGTCAAGTTAGTGCATATTAGATTCTTATTTTGGAAGTACTTTTCTATAACCTCTTTGTGCAGATAAAAAAAATTACTGAAAAGAATTTCACTTTCAAATCACCTATTTTATGAGATGTCTGTGTTCCAAAGCACACATGTAATAAGATTAAGTCCATATCAAATGCCCCTTATAGTGTTATTTTAGATTCTTATTTCTTTAAGAAGCAACTAAAGGATGTTTTTTCAAATGTTCTTAGGAATTCGGCCTCCAGTGTCTCAACATGCAATCATCCAGAGCTTGGTGCTCTTTCTGTGTATTATTAAGTTTCTGTTTTCTCTTTCTTCTAGTTTCACTTGCCTTCTTTGGGCTCTTTCTGTAACAGAGACTAATAATAATTCAATGGTATGTGAGTTATGTTACCTACAAATCATTTGGGGGACTTTAACCTCTATGCTTCTTGACAGCAGGGCCTCTTTTCTTTCATCTCTGTGTCATTAGCACCTAGCAAATGCTTGACACCAGCAGGCCTGCAATTGATATTTCTGAATGTGTAAATGAACACCTTACATTAATAAATCACCTCAATTTCTTTCAGTCCTGAGAAGAGGACTGAGTGAAGAACAGAAGGAAGATTTACAGAGGATCCTTGTTCTTACACTAACCAACAAAGGAAAGTTTCTGTCAGTCACTGACATAAATCATAAAGCTGGGAAAGGAGGCCTGATAGGACTAATACTTAAGTTTGTGTTGCAAGATATTATGAAATTGTAAACTGCAATTTCAAACAGGTATAATATTAACTATAAGTGGAGATGAAGAAGCAGTTATCAAAGGCTGCCAGCCAGGTGTGGCTAGAGTGCTGGGAATCCTAGGTTCAGCTTGCACTGCTATTTAACTCTGTAACTCTGGACAAAGCAGAGACTTCAGCCCTGCCACTCCTGCCTCATTTCTACAAACACAGACAATAACTTGTCTTACTGCTTGTTACTGGAAGACCATTGAGAGGATCACAAAAGATCAAAAGGTTAGAAGTCCCACATAAACAATGTCTCATTTAAATATAGTTAACTATATGTTATGTTTTAGATCAGTGTCCCCCCCAAGGCCTATGTGTTGTACATCCAGCCCATGAGACTATTGGTGGTGATAGAACCTTAAGAGGTGGGGCTTAGAGAAAGTTAGGTCAACTGTGGGGTGTGCCCTTGAAGAGAATTTTGGAATGCCTGGTGCTCTCTATCTCTTTCTCCTCCCTCCTCTTTTTCTTCTCTCTGCTTTCCACTGAATGAAGGGAGCAGTTTCCTACTCCATGCACTGCCACAGCGTGCTGCCACAAACCTAAAAGTAATGAGATCAGCCAACCATGGACTGATCCCTCCAAAACAGTGAGCTAAAAAACCATTCTCTTTATTAAGTTAATTATCTCAGATATTTTGTTAAAGTTATGGAAAGCTAACACATCATATTATTGTTAATAGAAGTATGGTCTAAAAATTGGGCAAGTTTTAACTTTATAATGTGCTACAATTTCTGTACAATGTAGGAAGCTGCATTCTGGAAGTAGAAGTACAAATCTAAAGTAGAAATCATTTTGAATTTAAGATTAATGTTTCAGAGAGGAAACAAAGTTTCTTTATTGTTCAAAAGTCACATTTATGGTAGTAACTGAGTCGGAGGTAACATCAATGTTTTATGGGATATTAAAGTAAAATTATGCACATTTCATCCCTATGACTTATGAAAATCATGAAACAGGTTATTTTAAGAAAACTATGATGTGCTCAATGTAAATGGAATTTAGTGCTCTTCTTGGTTTGTAAAATCACAGTTGAGTAGGGATGGGAGAGCTGGACTAGGACTGTGGGGAGGTCCCAAAGCAGAGCTTCCTGGACATCCTATAGAATCTTGCTCTGATGAAACTGGTAATACCACTAGAATTTGTAAACCCTAGGCTAGGTCCCAGGAAAGGGAGTCATCCTGAGCTAAGCAGCATAGTTCACACATTTGTGACCTGGAGCTGGCTGCTCTGCAAACCTCCTACAATTTGGGACCACTGAGAAGTCAGCAAGATTTCATAGCAAGTCAGAATCAAGAAACAGTCATTGCATATTGAGTCACAAAGAAACACTTATCATGACCAGGAAATGACTATCATCACTTCTAGGTCAAAACACAGAAAGTTCAAAACTTTACATACGCAAAGGCCTCATATTAAATGAAACATGGTTAGAACCATGTGGTTAATTTGATTGAGAAGCTAGAACACCTTGAATAAAGGGTACATTTTTAAAGAACATACTAATTTAGAATAGATGTGGATTCCACTTTCTTTATGAAGATGATAGTGCCTGACATGGATCACCTATCAAGAATTCCAAGTTAGTGTTAGTCAAATCAACCAAGTTTTAATTAGAACTGAAAGGGTGTCAGGGAAATAATAAAAATAGAAAATTTTGTTTGCAACAACTTATTGATTTCGAGGATAATCATAACACTCTCTCCCTGGCTTCCAAAACCTCATATTTACCTCCTTATGCAAAGTGCATTCAGTCCATCTCCAAGTGTTCCCAAAGTCTACACATATTTCCAATGTTACTCAAAAGTCCAACTCCAAAGTCTTATCTGTGACTCAAAGCAACTTTTAGCTGTGAACTCCTACAAAATTATTTGCATATTCCAAACACACAATAACACAGAATAAGCAGTGTCTTTCCAAAGGGAGAAATGGAACAGAAAACAATTGAACCAAAGCAAGACCCAAAGCAGAAACTCTTTATGTCCTGCATCTGGGAAACGCAGTGGCATGATGTGAGCTCCAAAGGGCTTGGGAAACTGTTTGCAACCTGCGCTAGCTTTGCGTCCAGTCCGGTAGTTTACTCCATAGAAACTCTGTGATTCTAGCATCATTGCATTGCAGGCTTGTCTCACAGCTTTATGTATTACCATCTCAGGGGCTAAGTGTAGGGATTCTGACCTGCCACACATTGCCTAGTTTTCTAGGCCTCCCTTTCAATTCCAAGTGAAAGCTTCCACAGCTCTGTAGTCATATTGCTCTGCATGCCTGAAAAACCAGTATTACATGCACAACATCAAGATTCATTGCCACTTTGAGCAGTAGCCAAGGCATCATGACTGCCACAGCCTCTGAGTGCCCAGATGGCTGAGCACAGTAAAAATGAACCCTGAAGGGAACAACTTTCTACTGGCCCTGTACCAGTAGAGTGGCCCCATGCTCTCTTCACAAAACAAGGCCTTTCAGATGAGTTTATATTTTTGAACTCCTGAGCCTGCAGTGGGTATAGTCTGGCCAGTACCTGACACACTTTAAAGGCATGTTTGTCCTGATACAAAGTACTTGACCTTTTTTTTTAAACGCTACTAATCTCTTCAGCAAATGCACCTTCTTTGGGCCAAACTTTTTAGGCACTTCTTTTCCAGTGAAATAAATTTCTCACATCTTTCTGTCCTGCTTTTTGCTCTCAAATCTCACTGCAAATCTGACTAAAATCAGCCAGCAACTGCCAAAATTATGGAATCTTTGTCAGATCAATCAGTCCTTTGCTTTTAAATTCATCCTTGTACAAGATCTTAGGGCATGCACCTCATGTAGAGAAATGATTTGCCAAATGTAACAAGAATTCTTGCTCCAACCTGAAGGCTTAGGAGGAAAGATTTTACTGTCCACCTTCTAACCAGCATTCCAGTCTTCTGAGCTCACACCAGAATCACCATCAATTAAGCTCCACTTACAACCCTCTAAGCCTTCTGTAGTCTGTATCTTTAAACTCTTTCAAATTCCTTCCAAAAAACAGTTCCAAAGGTTCCTGAACTACCTGATCAGGTAGTCACAACAAGAACTCTGCTTTTTGGTTCTAATTTTCTGTGTTGGTGAGCTTTCTGATGCTGGGACAACATGCCTGAAATAAACAATTTTTAAAAAAGAATTACTTTGGCTAATAATTTCAGAAGTTTCTTGGCTCCATTGCTTCAGGACTGTGCTTAGGAAGAAACGTCATGTTGGAAAGGTGTAGCTGATGAGATCTCAGAGGGAAAGGGCATGAGAGAAAAAGTGAGAGACCAGATATTGTCCACAAGGTCAGCAGCTTCATCTAGGCCCTACCTCTTGCTTCCTCCACCACCCAATAATGTCATCAGATTATGATCTTATCAGTGAATCAGTCTACTTGATGAAGTTAGAGCCTTCACAATCCAGTGACTTTCTCAAAAGCCCATCAGCTGACACTCACACCTTTAACACATGAGTTTGGTGGAGTCTTTCAAATCCAAGTGATAACAAGGCTGAGATATTTACAATGTGATAATTACGTTTTTTTTTTTTTTTTGTCTTTTTCTTTTTTATCAGTACTGGGGATCAAATTCACGACCATACACTTGCAAGGCAGGCGCTTATGCCGCTGAGCTAAATCCCCAGCCCCCGATATTTACAATGTGAATCAACCCAGTCCAACACCAGCACCTGAACGCACTATGAGAGAGACCTGATCAGGGTCACTGCAGTGATGGTCTCTGTTCTGCCTTCCCAATTTCATTGCTTTTAGCTCCACAGCCATGAAAGGAAACAGATCAGAGTCAAAAGTGGATGAAACACAAGTTCAGAGAATACAGATTAAAAGGCCTTCATAAGTTAACCAACAACAAGCCACATAAATGCTGTAAGGGAGACTTCTAGACCTCAAGAAATTACTTTCCTGGTAGAAATCACTAAAGTCCATGGCATACTTCCATTTGTGGGTAAATCTGTATTTCCTGAGTCTCACAAAGTCTATTTTTCCAAGCTTAGTGTTTTTTTTTTTTTTTTTTTTTTTCTTACAGCCAACATGCTAGACTCTGGTAAATCTGTTCAACCGCTCTAACATGTTCTAAAATTGTAAGCCAGAATCTGCAGCTTTAAAAAATCTCACAGTGCCTTCACACACCCTGTGCTCCTCATGCGTCAGAAACAAGCAGTTGCCTCCTCATCTCCTCAGCTGTTTTTACCTGAGCTGGTGGAGGCCGGGGATTTGCTGCGCCGGGAAGGTCCTGGGCTCTTGGTGGTGCTCCTGCGGGATGATGAAGCTATTTTGGTGTAAGAAGTGGACTTCACCACGCGACATTCTGGGGGAGAGAACAACAGTGATACATCAGGATTGGGTTACAGCAGACAAACCACCTCAAAATACATAGCAGTCTGCCTACAGAAACATACAACCATCTGCAAGACACACCTGTGCCCTGTCATTCTAATGTTTGGCTATGACAATGGAACCAAGAAACAATGCCTCCATGCAGAGTGGATTGCTTAGACATCAGTGTCAATAACACCCTAAGTCTCCAAGTTTACCAGATTCCTTATCCTTACAAGCAGGCAGTTAGTTGACTACTTCCTTAGAATAGACTCAGTCCCTGGCACTGAAGTTTAGTTTCTAGTAACAAGAAACCAAAGATACATTGTAGATGCTCAAAACATTTGCTGAATGAAGTGGGTTTTGGAGATTGAAAGAGAAGCGCTTTTTAAAAGCTCCTGACAAACTTCCCCGCCCTGAGAATGCCTGATAACAACTATACTCTCACCAGTGCATGAGTGGGCATTTATACCTGACCCCTCGATAAGTGCAGGTATTATTGTTCCAAAAATTTTTTCAAGTTTCCAAACAAATACACAAATTCATTGCACAAATCCAAATCAGTTTAATGGACAGTATTGCATATTTTCCCCCATGCATGCTAGCCATTTATATTTCTTTTTCAATCACTTATTCACATTCTTTGCTCATTTGCAATTAGGATGATCTTTTTCCCATTGTTTGTAAGAGTGTTTTCTATATTAAAAGTTTCCTTAATCTATCAGGTTATATATATTTGTATTTATAGTAGTTGTCAAAATGTTCACCTTTTAAAAGTGATATTTTAAAAACAAGTGTGTAGGACTGATAACCATATTACTAAGTTTTGGTTAGATCATTGAGCAGAACTGTTGGCAGTGTCATTATTTGAATGTCACTTTACATACTTTAATTTTGTAAGCTAAACAACTATTTCTAGGATGACAATATGTAACTTATCAACTGGTGATTTCCTACTGTTTATTTTTCTGTAATTCTATATTATTTCTACCCTTTTTTTCTCCATGTATTTTTGTTTCTTTCTCTTTAAATAAAGACAAAAATGGTATTTTAAGAAATATAATAGTGTAAAATTTAAGTGTAATTTATGAATTTTTCTATTCTGCATTTTTAAACCATTTTATACTTTAGTAACAAAGAACTCCTAAGTCTACAACTGAACATCTAACGCCAATGTCTGGCTTTATCTTTGAAGTTTTCCTTCCTTAACAATATGATTCTAATTGTGTAAGTTCAAAGGATGTTTCTTTCCCTTATCTGCTCCAAATGAATAAAGTAGTTCATATTACTTAGTAAAAAGGAATGAAAGTGTACATAAAATAAAAATGTTAGAAGACTTGAAATACAAAATAAGACATAGGGAAGAGACTCATGAATGGAACTGAGGCAAAGAGAAAAGATTTCATAAAATAGGTGGGGGGAGAAGGAGAAGGAAGAAACTTGTGCCTTGAGACACAAGTTTCTTCCTCTGCCTTTTTTTTTATAGTCAAAAAGAGAGAGAAATGCACCAAGGCACACTGAACCTGCCGTGTTTTCCCCAGAAGTTACTTGAGCCACTGCTGGCTGTTTTGGTGTACATCCAGGTGGTCCTGTAGGACATTTCATTTATTAAAACAAGGGAAACAAGTTATACATATGGATACAATGGTAAAAATTAGCAATAACCAAGAAATGGCCTTAATAATATGGAAGATACAATCAGAAACACCAGGACCATTCACATAGGGCAATAATGCCTAGTATGTCTCCATCAACATTTTAATTTACAAAACCGAGTTTTGGGTGGTGAGAGGATCTCATGTAGCTCAGGACTCTGTGTCCCCACAAATGATAACACATTTTTGAGTCTGTCCTGGATTTGGACATCTGCAGTGTATTAGCATCCAAACTGCATTGGCATAATGTGGCTGGTCCATGGGAATGCTTCCAGTTATACGTTTATCAAATACCTACTATGTGCTGGGCACTGAGAACTACAGGCAAGATGTAGAACCAACAATACCAATTTGGAATTTGAAATACTGGCCACCTGGTAGTGGTACATAAATTTCTTTGCTGTTTTGTTAGCCAAGTTTCTTTGTTACTAAATTTTGTTTCATAAAACATTGAAAAATGTTGGCTAGCGCAATAAGTTGTTCATAAATAATAGCACATTCAATCACACTAATGAAAATCAAGACTAGAATGACCAGGACTTTTTGTCTCAGGTCATGAACATTTAGAGGTCACATAAATTTAAAACAATAATTTAAAAAGCTCAGCATCTAGCTAGCAGGAATGAATGGTTAAAATAGAAAGTTACCAGATGGCGCACATTGTTAGAAACAGGCATTTTTCAAGCTGCAACATGAATTACAAAATTGATTTTAGGGTTTGTCCCAAAAGCCAGAACTGGTGGTTATGGTTGTAACTACCAACCAGGGCTTTTAAACCAGCATAATAGAACCAGTCTTGCCACACTAGCTGACATTTTCCCATCTACCAGAAATATGCTCATTATTTGCCAGATATCTTAGTTTTAAAAAAGCAGCAATGTAGGAATTTCAAGAAATTTCTGAAGTATTGAAAAGAGCTGATGGGCTCGTCACACATTTGTTACTTCCACTGCATCTTCTGAACCCAGTTATCAGCAGATTATTAATCAATCAAAGCTATTCACTTACTCCCCCCCCCTTTCTACTTTGGGTATTATCTAGTGCCTGACATATTAACTAACAAACAACAGCTGTGAAAAAATAACGCTGGTCCTGGTACAGCAAGAGTTCTGTGAACTCTTAGTATTCACTGGACTAATCCAATCTCTTACTTTAGAAATGAAGAAATGGAATCTTAGGCTGAATAAATGACTTAAATCAGAAGAACCTCATTCTCTTTGCTTGGTGACTACATGTGCTCATGGTCAGGGGCAGACAAATGGTGACGGTGGATGTGGAAAGGGTGGCAAGCAGCTGGTTTTCATATCAACATTAAATTAAGAATTCAAGATACTAAAGGTAACTTTCTTTTAAGTTGTCTGTTATATTAGAAAAACAGATAATAAACTCTTTCAAAAGTTAAGGTATAATGAAGTAATAACTTGGGGGAATCAGAGCCCAAACTATAATTACAAGTACAACTCTTGTGCCACTTGCCTTCAGGGTAAGAGTAGGCTTCATGAGTCATACTGGGGAGTAGTATAATTCTGAAAGTCTTGGGCTGAATAGCAGAAATAGAAATCACCCAAAATTATAGTCACTGCCCTGTGTCCCTAGTCAAAATAAACCCAAAGAATATTGTACTGCCATCACATAAATTAGAGAACAAATACAGCTCTAATCATCTTTCCAATTGAATTTTGGATTTTAAAGATTTTAATTAATTTAAATAAGAATTGTGTTTTATAGTGGTGGAAAATGCTGTGAGAAGAAAGTAAATGCTGACTTAGAATTATCAAGATTATTGCCAGCTTAAAGCCGCAAGTTAGAAACATTATGAATAATATGACCTAATTGGCCAGTAAATAGAAAATCTTTTTGTTCACACAAACGACATTTTCACTGTCTCTGGCAAAGAAGAAAGTGGCACCTTTTCACCTCTTACATCGGTGTGCTTGCTTTTGGGGACAATCACTTTTTTTATGCTGATCATTTTTGGGACCCTTAACTTTACTAACTGACTTTCTGAGGGTGCTTTGCAGATACTGGACAATGCAGATACTCCTTTAAGCGAGAGGACACTGGAGGATTGTAATGGGTCTCTTGGAGGAAGTGGCTCAGACTTGCCACTAGGGACTGCAGCATACACAAAGCACACTTGCCCCTTGGTATCTTCAGGGCACTGGCTCCAGGACCCCCAAGCATAACAAAATCTTTGGATATTTCTGCTCCTTGTGTGAAATGGCATAGTACTTACACATAAACTGTGCAATCCTCTTGTATACTTTTCATATCTCTAGATTATACCAAATACCCAATACACTGCAGTTTACTGAAATAACTGTTATAGTGTTGTTAGTGAACAGTGATGAGGGGAAAAGTTCATTGTTATTAGTGAATGGTGATGATGCAACTTTTTTGCCTGAACATTTTCCATGCACAGTTGATTGAATCTTCTTGTTATGGTTTGTGTCTGGATGTCCCACAAAGCCTCATGCAGTCATGGAGGTAGACTTCTAGAATCTATGATTGATTCATGGCCCAACGCTGGGATTATGGGTGTGAGTGCTACATCTATCTTCGGGTGGGTAGCCTACATACAATATAAGGGTCAGAAAGAGTTTTTCTCTCAATCTCTTCCCTTTTGCTCTTGTTGCATTTACTGTTTTCCTTCACCATGAACTGTTGTCCTCTACCATGTGCTACTCTGCTTTGGACCCAGCTCATTACAGACTAAAACCTCCACAAACTGTGAGCTAAATAACCCATTCCTTCTTCAGTTTTGAGAATCAGATATTTTGTCTCAGCAATGAGAGAAAAGTAACCAAGACACTTCTCTTTGGTTGTTTGATAGAATCAGTGGATGTAGAAGACTGACTGTAAAGAGATATGGTATTGTTGCATGTCTATGTGTCTAGGGTGGTGCTCTTGGAAGGTGGTGGGATTTTTGAGGGGGTTAGCATGGAAGTCATTGAGTCACTGAGTGTCCTCCAAAGAAATCATGGGACTTTGGTTCTGTCTCTGCCTCCTAGCTCAAGATGTAATGTTTCCTCTGCCATACGCTACGATGCACAGTCCCCACCAGAGGTCAGAAGTAATGGGCTACCCAGCCTTAGACTGGAACCTCCAGAACTGTAAGCCAATAAACACTTTAGATCATTCATACCAATTGGTGACATAATAATAAAACAAGAAAGCAAGAAATCAAGCAAAGTTTTATTAAATCATTACTTTAGAAAGTTCCTATATTCATAGGTATATGAGGTGAAAGTAACATATTGTACGCGGTCTATCCTAAGATTAACTGCATGGATGTTCAGGGGATTTAGTGAGATAGAAGTAAAAATGTTTCCCACTT